CAATTTATTATATCAGCAACGTGCTGCACGGAGCAAAACTAAGGTATCCTATAGCTGAGAAAGCAGCATTAGCAGTCGTCACTTTGGCCAGAAAGCTGAAGTCTTATCTTAACTCACCGCCTCTGTTGACTAAGGCTGTAGATGGCGAACTTCTTTACTTGTACCTGGGGATTTCAAATGAGGCTATTAGTTCAGTTCTGGTGAGAGAAGAAGCTAGACAGCAGAAACCAATTTATTATATCAGCAGTGTGCTGCACGGAGCAGAGCTAAGGTATCCTATAGCTGAGAAAGCAGCATTAGTAGTCGTCACTTCAGCCAGGAAGTTGAGGCCATATTTCCAGTCACACCCAATTATAGTTCTCACCGATCAACCTCTCAGGCAGATTCTGCAGAAACCAGAGTGCTCTGGAAGATTAATTAAATGGGCAGTAAAACTGGGAGAGTTTGAGATAACATTTCAGCAGAGATCGGCCATCCGAGCTCAAGCATTAGCAGATTTTATTGTCGAATGCACTCCATGCCCTTCAACCTCTAATCTAAAGCTCAACGACTGGACCCTATATGTTGACGGAGCATCTAGTAGCAAGGGTTCAGGGGCTGGCGCTCTCTTGATTGGTCCAGAGGGATACCGAAGTGAACATGCCTTGAAGTTCAATTTCGATGCAACAAATAACATGGCTGAATATGAAGCTCTACTACTTGGTCTACAACTTGCACTAGAGTTGAAAATCAGTGCAATTCAAGTATATAGTGACTCTCAGCCGGTGGTGAACCAAATCAACTCTATTTGCGAAGTCATTGATCCTGTGATGGTAAAGTATGTAGCCTTGGTGGCCGAGCTGAAGTGCAAATTTCAGAAATTCTGTTTGAGTAAAATTCCCAGAGCTGCGAATGAACAGGCAGATTCACTCTCCAAGTTTGCCTCTGATAGCTCTTTCAGCTCCAGATCCATTTTTGTAGAGGTCTTAGATGAACCAAGCTTCACGAAGCCTCGGGTGATGGAGATTAGCACAAACCCTGACACGCCGAGCTGGACTGATTCAATTGTCTGCTTCTTACAAGATGGGATAGTACCTGAGAACAAGCATGAGGCAATGAAATTGAGGAAGAAAGCATCTCGGTATACACTTGTTGATGGAGTCCTATATAAAAGATCTTTTTCACTTCCTCTTCTGCGATGTTTGAATCCCTACGAAGTCGAGTATGCACTTCGAGAGGTACATGAAGGTGTCTGTGGGAGCCACGTCGGTGCTAGAACTCTGGCTCACAAAGTCTTAAGGCAGGGATATTACTGGCCAAACATGTATAAGGATGCCATTCACTTTGTTCAGAAATGTCCGAAGTGCCAATTCTTTGCACATCTAACTCACCAACCTGCAGAAGAACTCACGAACTTGGTAGCACCATGGCCATTTGCACAGTGGGGACTAGATCTTTTGGGTCCATTCGTAAAAGGGGTTGGTGGTGTAACCCATCTGGTTGTTGGTGTGGATTATTTCACAAAATGGGTTGAAGCTCGGCCTTTGTCTAGTCTTACCTCCAAGAAGGTCGAAGATTTTGTTTTCAGTTCGATCATCTGCAGATATGGGATCCCAAATCAAATTGTGGATGATAATGGAACTCAATTCAATTGCTCCTCATTCCGAGATTTCTGTTCCAGTTATGGGATCAAGTTACAGTTCGCCTCCGTTTACCATCCGAAGTCCAATGGCATGGTGGAATCTGTTAACAAATGCATTTTGGAAGGTATAAGGCCGAGATTGGAGCAGCATAAGGCCAAGTGGGCAGACGAGCTCCACAACGTCCTCTGGGCATACAGAACCACGAGCCGAACTGCCACAGGTACTACTTTAAACCGAGTTTATTTGATTAATTTCTATAGTTTTTCATTTCTTCTGTTACGATTCACCTTAGAGTAAATATGCATAATGCATAAAGCGCATTCTAAAGTTATAATTAACTGGAATAGGTGAAACACCCTACCACCTGGCCTTTGGCATCGAAGCAGTCATTCCCGTTGAGATAGGAATCCCAAGCTTCCGAGTTACCCATTTCGATGAGGGACGAAATGGACAACTGCTTCGGGAAAACCTTGATCTGCTTGCTGAAGTCAAAGAAGAAGCTCGGCTTCGAACTCTTGTATACAAGCAGAAGCTAGCCAACTTCTACAATAAACGGGTCCGCCCTCGAACTTTCAAAGTAGGAGACCTTGTTCTCAGAAAAGCTGGCCTAACGGGGTTTGAAACTCGTTTTGGCAAACTCACCCCGAACTGGGAAGGCCCTTATGCTGTGGCCAAGGTGCCACATCCTGGTGCCTATGTCCTCCAAGACGCTGAAGGAAAACGAGTTCCTAGAGTCTGGAATGTCAATAACTTGAAGAAATTTTACCCCTAATGAAAGTCTTCTAAGCAATCTATGTCTTACTGTTCTTTATGCTTTTCATTTCGTGTTTATTGAAAATCATTTTACCTCTTATTCTATGTATCTGAGGTCAATCAGTTCATTCCCTTCTGTTAAATTTGAAGTGCTTTATCTGCTTTTAATTTGTTCGCATGCTGTACTTGTTCCTAATTCATATGAAGTGGCTTACTTCTTCTTAACTCGTCTGAAGTGAATTACTTCTTCTTAATTCTTCTTAATTCGTCTCAAGTACTCTCAGTTCTTTCATTCATAAAACATAACAAAAATATAAACCAAACATAAACAAATATATAATTTCATTAAACATAATAAAAGTGTTACAAACTGTTTAAATGTTCTACAAAAAATTAAAAACAACAAATCAAAATTAGTTCTCCGCTGGAGGAGGTGGCTCCACTGGCTCCTCTTCGGTTGGCAGAGGTGGCTGTCTTGGCTGCTGCTCGTCTGGCAGAGGGGGCTGCTCATCATCGGAGGGAACTGGATGAATCTCCACTTCTGGAGCGGGTTGGCTCTCACCCACTTCAGCTTCCTCCACTCTTGCCTCCATCTCGTCTCCCTCTACCTCTGCCCCTTCATCCTCCACTGCCACGAACTCGAAGTCGAACTGTGGAGGGAAAACAGCACGTCCGTTTGCATCATCCTCCCACCTCAATTTGATCTGAGGACGGAAGTCTGCTGACATGCTCTCCCCATCTTCCTCCACTCCTTCTTCTTGCTCGTCGAAGGTGACCTTTGTCACATCCACTTCGGGATATGCATCCTTCACCTTCTTTCTGCAGTCCGTGAATGCGATGATAGCAGTAGGCAATCGGTATAGGTTGACGATGTTGTCAAACGAGCTAGAGCTGATGAAGTTGCTGATGTGCTCCTTCATCCCATTGTGCACCAAGGTCTGCACGTTCCCCTTCAGCTCCAGGAAAGCCTCCTTCGTCAGCTTCAGCTCTTGCGCCTGAGCCTCACGCTCGCTTTCAGAGATCTTTCGTTTGCTCTCTTCAAAGCCGAGCTTGATGCTCAGGGAAGACCTCTCCTGTTCCAACTGCTTCACAGTTGGAACCACCTCGTCCAACGACTCTTGCAGATCTTTATTTTTCTTCTCTAGATCCTCCTTCTCCTTCCGCAGCTGGTCACACTGCCTCTGCAAGAGTACGCGCTCCTTGACACTCTCCTTGAACTCTTGGGTTAGACCATTCACCAAGCTCGCGCTCTGCAAATCATAGCAGAAGTTCAAAGAGAAAGAAGAGAAGAAGCAACAGAATAAATAAACAGCAGCACTAACTTAACATACCTCAAGGACGTGCTTCACAACAGATGCTCCCCCGTACCTCAGAGCTTCCTCCCGCGCGTTGCGCTTGTCCACTTCGAGGAAGGTGCTATTGATAAACCACCTAGCCCCCATTACGTTCTTCGCCTCGAACAGGCTGCTCTGAGACACCGCAGGGGAAACAGGGCCTTTCCCCTTCCCAGGAGCCCGTACCTCAGCCCCCTCCTCCAACCGTCTGAGCTCGAGGTCCAGCTCAACAGGAGGAGGCTGAGGTACGAACTCAGGAACCCCACTTCCCTCTTCCTCCTCCACCACTCTCTACTTCTTTTGCAGTGCCCTCCTCTCCTCCCAACCTTTCCTCTTCAGCGGTTGCACCTCCTCCTCCGTCCCAACTGACGCTAAGGGCACCACCTCCTTCTCCTTCTCAGTCCTCCCTTCATCCACTTGTTTGGTTGAAGTCCTTGACTTCTTCCTTGGCTTCTTGGGGATAGCCTTCCCTCCAGCAGTGCTCAAAAATTGATCCATATCAGCTGCAAAACAAGAATACAATATTAATCACAGTTCTATACTCTACATTCAGTACAACAATACAGAACTAAACCAACCTTCACTTAAAGCGCTTGGCCCATAGAGCTCAGCAGCTTCTATGCATGCTGCGCTGGTGAGGTCCATGATATTCAATTCCTCCCCCCTCTTCCTCACCAACTTCCTCACTTCCTCCTCCTCATCCCCATTTAAGTTAAACCTATTCTGGTTGGCCCTTTTGGCTTTCCAGGAAGCTAACGCCCTCACCTCAGCATCCCCCTTCCCCCACTCCGCATCATCTACAAAAAAGAATTTTTCCTTCCATCCTTTAATGGATGAAGGACCTGAAGTAAATAAAATCCTACTCTCCTTCTTATCTACCCTAGGGGTGAAATAATACCACCCCTTATCCCTCCTACTTCCCCCTTTCAAAACGAAAAAATACTTAAACATATTTACAGTTGGCACACTGATCCCCTGAGCTCGGCAATAAACTAAAAAACCTATTATTACCCTCATTGCGTTAGGGACCAACTATGTCAACCCTATATTGTAATCTAACAGTAAACCTACTAGCAACTCGGGAATTGGAAATTTAAGCCCAGCATACAAATAATGGGAGTACACGGGCATCCAATGATCCCGAGGAGCAGAGCACGCCCTCTCCTCTACCCCAGCTGGCCTAACTAACACTCGAGATGAAATCTCGTAATTCTCTACCAAGTGACCCAGGCTATCCCTGGTCCTTAGCTCAGACCTATACTGCTTCACCTCCTCCACTATCTCCGCGTTCACATCATACCCTCCCACTCCTCTACCCTCTACTTCTACTACGGTGATAGGTATGTTATCTCCCCCCACCCCTACCACCTCATTTTCCCTAACCTCTACCCCCTCATCTCCCCCAACCTCCACCATCTCATCCCCTCTCACCCCTTCGACCGTCTCCTCCGAACTAGATAGAGACGGACTACTCTCTGAGTCCATGCTCCCATAGTCCAGAGGCTCCACCTCACTCCCTACTACACTTCCTGTCCTTTTTGAAGACATTTTCTCAAACTCTGCACGAAGTAGGGGGGAGGAAGGAAGTCAGGACCCATAAAAAAAAAAAAAAAAACCCCCTTTCATTACACATTCAAAACCCTTCTCATCTCTAACCCTAACGTCCTTCAGAGGACTTTAAATCAATCACAGAAAGGGAGAAAGGAGAAAGACGCTTCGATTAACTTAAAATCAGAGTTCCGTCTACATTACCTGATTTTGGTTTCGAAAGACTTGATTTAGAATTCCTCAGTTGATGCTGCAGTTCACGCACAAAGAACACACGGTGAAGCTTCTCGCAGAAGTTTTGCAAGAAAAGAAATGCAAGTAAACCTTTTTCTGCAGAAAAAATGCCTATTTATACTTCTGGGCAAAATTAGATCTCAATGGCTGAGGTTCGTTTAATCTTACGGTCCCTGTTGACACCGTTTGGAATTCAATGGCCAACCCCAAATGATACCGTTTTAAACTTGACGGTTCGTTTTTAAATTTGCCCGTTGAACTGTTGCAATTATCTTTTTACGGCTGCATTTATTGCACACGTCATTCCAAGGACAACTGTCACATCACGTTGTCAGATTTTCCAGACGGACCCAATCACGCCCATTTCAACACCTCTGTTTACTTTTCTCAATTTTGTCAAGTGTTCCACTTCGGCTCCGGCCACAATAATGCTGCATTACATTTCACATCGACTTCAGCCACAGTAATCCTGTATCACACATTTTATTATGGCTCCGGCCATTTTGACTCCCATTTTTATATTTAAGCCTAACTCAGCACTTCTGTTTACTTATACAATTATAATTGTCAGCTGCTTTACTTCGGCTCCGGCCACAGAGAACACATGTTTTACTTCGGTCCTGGTTATTGTGACCACGTCACATACTCTACCTCGGCTCCGGCCCTTATGACTCCGGTCATCATATTTTATTACGGCTCCGGCCCTTATGACTCCGGTCATCATATTTTATTACGGCTCCGGCCCTTATGACTACGGTCGTCACATTTCATTACGGCTCCGGCCCTTATGACTCCGGTCATCATATTTTATTACGGCCCCGGCCATTATGACTCCGGTCATCATTTTTCCATCACGGCCTTGGCCTTTATAACTCCAGTCATCATTTTTTATCATGACCTTGACTACATTATGACTCCGGTCATTATTTTTACCATGACTACGGCCATGGTCACTCCGATTATACTTTATTTAAGGCACCCCAATATGACCCATTGTTACATCTTTCATTTTTAGCTACGGCTATGTTTAAATTTAAGTTACAGCTTTCTCCCTTATATTTCTATAACTTATCTGTATTCTCTTTGTTCATACACTCCTCCCATTATCCCCAGCAACATCATTCACAAGTGAATGACTTCGGGGGGGGAATAGTGTAAGGACAGGGCCGAGGTGCCAAGCCTCGGACTGTTACAGTAATTCCTTTATGACCGAAGTGTGGAATAAATCCAAAGCTTCCCGCTCAAATAGCTGCATGACAATGACAATAAGCATGCCCGCACCTGATTCCTTATGATGAGCGGCACAGCAAGTATGGTAGACATCCGTATATATGAATACCTCTCAAATTCCCGGTCCCGAAATAATCGTCTGGATGGACACGTCAGGCTCCGATTATCTTGCTTGGCATGCCACGTGGGTTCCTCATTGGATCCTATAAATACCCCCCCGGGCCACGTCAAAAAGGTAATTGAAAACCAACCTTAAGCTCTTTTTATCTCCGCCCTAAAGGTAGCCCCGATTATTGCTGACTTAAGCATCGGATTGTCTACCCCGAGTTCCACCTCGGGGCTTTGCAGGTCATCTTGGAGTGCAAGCGCGGATTAAAGAAGGACTTCTGGTCTGGTGCAACTACAACAATCTACCAACTATTGACGAATTTTTTGTCTTAGTGTAAAATTTTTGTTTTCTTTTAAAATTATCAATTAACTTTCAAATTCATTTCAATTTTGTCTAGTTCAACACAATCTAATTAATTGAATAGACAAAATTTTAAATTTTGATTGTGTAATATCATATAAATTGTCACTTAAGTTGTCATGTGGCCTAAAAATAAGTGAGAAAATTCCTCCAGCTTCTTATTAATTAGGCCCATTAAACATTAAGACTCTCCTTAGTTTTAATAAAACACCATTCAACCCCTTTAGAAGCTGTGATTCGGGACCATTGAAGAGGTTTAACTGACTGATTGGATCACTCCAAAAATTCAATGAGTTAAGTCAAAGCGTGTTTAATTTCTTGTAAATTATGGGATTTAAGAGGTAATTAGATGGATGAGGCATAATTGGTTTGTATTTAAGGATTTTCCTTAGAAGACTATGATTAGTATATTTTTTTATTGATATATTTTTTGATATAATATATTTTATAATATATTTATTAAAAAATTATTATTTTTAAATTTAAATTTTAGATAAAAAAATTTTAATTACAAAATTTGTTGACTGAATTAATAGATATTAATAAATACTTGAAACTAAAAAGTATATCATCAGATGCATGTAAGATGGTACTTATAATTATTATTTTTTATTCATAATTAGAGTGGTGTATTTTTTTTTTGAACAGTGTAAAATCTTTTTTCTTGGGGGAAGGGAAAATGGAGGGACTTAAGTTTGATCCAAGTCCTTGTAATCCTACGCATATCCTTGCAAGGGATAACCATTTAGCCACTTAGTGCGGGACAATTAGAGTGGTGTATTTCAATTTGGTGCATTCAAAGAATTTAATAATTTGATTTTATAAAACAACACTTTATTTTCACTTAATCTAATCATTGAATTGACGTACTGTCATAATGTATTAAATGAGTTGAAGAGAGAGATTCGGTGATATTGCTTAGCCATCAAAGTTAATTTGTGAAGGGTTAAATCCAACTATAGTCCCTCCACTTTCTTTTTCATTCATTTTCTTCCTATACTTTAAAATTATTCAAAGACCTCCCTCTACTCTCCCAAAACATACTGGTGTCCTCCCTCTACTTTCAATTTTCATACTAGTTTTGCCTCCTCCATGTAACACCGTTACTAACACCATTACTAACCATTTGTCGTCAAACCTCCATCCATTCATTAATTCATTATTATTTTTTGATAAATTTTAATTATAGGCTCACAAATTCCATATCACCCACTATCACTAACCTAAATATGCCCATAGACTTATGAAAATAATACATACAAAATTTCTTTTTACCACTATAGAAGTTACGCCTTTAAGATTGTCTACCAAAGGATTAATTTGAAAGTGTATAAAAAATGATTTTGAAATACCTTAACTATAAAAAATAAATAAATAAAGAAAAATAATTCTTGACATAGTACTATCATATATTGATCAATGAATTTATTTTTTAATTGCATTAATCAAATTTATTTTTTTATAGATAATACAATAAGAAAAATCATAAGAAATCCATTAATTTATATATTATAATAATGGTATAGAGCCAAACAAGTAGAGCTGGGTATTTAGTTTGGATTATCCAAATTAAACTAAATTTTTTATTATCTAAAATAATTTTGGATAAGAATTTTATACCCAATATGAACCAAAATTTTAATTCGATTATAATTTTAGTTATCCGAAATTATTTGGATAATTTGATTAATTAACCAAATGACCACAATATATCATTATTCTTCACTTTTTGTCATTAAAAGCTTTTTTTTAAAAAAAAAGAATTGATTATTTCTAGTCTTCTTGTTCATATTCCTATATATAAATTTGACTAAAAAAAGATTTTTGTCCAAAAAATTTTCACATAGCACAAAAACTAAAATAAAATAAATTTATACTACAAAATTTTAGATAATTTTAAATAATTTGTTGTCTCATATTGATTTGTTGCTGCATGTTTCTTTATGCTAACATTGGATCTAAATATTTTGATATGTCTTAAACAAAATAATTGCACCCAAATCAGCCAATAATGTCAAACTAATAAATGCTAAGAAAATTTTGGATAACAACAAGATAGTTGGTTAGTGTGAGGTACCATTTGGCAAGCTACCAAAAGGGGTTATCACTATGCATGTTGTGGTCCAGCCAACTTTAACAAAAACTAAAAGAGGTTTTCTTATACTAATTGCTCTAGAATGCTTACTTTGATTTAGGTGATTGGCAAATATTTTAGAGTTATATTGTGCTAAATCTTAAATTAGGTTATTTTGTTATCTTAGCGAAAAAGAAAGTGGATGAACTCCCTAGAAAATGCTTGTGTTGTGTTCGATATTGTAGTCGTATTTGATACTTTAGTAGATAATCTTAATTATAATTAAGATTAATTATAATTAATTTTTGTACACCTTCAAATTAATTTTTTAATAAACAATTTTAAAGGCATAACTTTCACATTAATAAAAATAAATTGTGTGTGTATCATTTTCATAAGTTTGGGAGAAGATCGAGGTTGGTAATAGAGGTGACATGGTGAGTGACATGGAATTTGTGAGGTTCTACAATTGAAATTCATCAAAAAAAAAAAAAATAATAATGAATGGGTGAGGTTTGACAACAAATAGTTAGTAACAATGTTGATGTTAGTAACAGTGTTAGCAATGGTGTTAGTAACGACATTAGGTGAGGGAGGTACCTAGTATGAAAATTGAAAGTAGAGGGAGGACACTAATATATTTTGGGAGAGTAGAGGGAGGTCTTTGAATGATTTCAAAGTATAGGGAGGGCAATGAACGAAAAAGGAAAGTAGAGGGACTATAGTTGGCCTTAACCCATTTGTGAATGGTGTGGGTTTGTCTCGAAAAATGGTCACACAAGGATGATGCTATTAATATTAATTATTTTCACTTAAAGTTATGAATATTATCATATTTGAAGGTTAAACCCCCTTTTTGGTCCCTCAACTATTGTACGGACCCTCGATTAAGTCCCTCAACTCAAAAAATCCCTGACTTGGTCCCTACTGTTTACCATTTTTACCCCAATTTGATCCTTTCGTTAAAAATCCCTCCACGTGTATTGTTAATTCACGGTAAGATGATGACATGTCAAAATTTTAATCTACGTGGAAGACAACATCGCAAAAGCTAGTGACATGGCAATAAAAATTTAAAAAATTCTTTCTCCTTCCTCTTCATTTCCTGAACCCAGAGCCTGGGATTGTCGAACCCGTCACCATGGGTTCCTTCAAACCCAACTCGGCGTTCCTCATTCCCTTTCTCCTTCCTCTTCATTTCCTTCTTCATCAATCAATTCATCATCATCATCATCATCAAACAAAAGCCACAAAACCACAATTTATTTATTTATTTTTTTGTTGAAGAACCCAGTGCCCTGGGTTCAATCAAACCCGGTGCTGGGTTCGCTCTTCCTTTCCTTCTTCATCAATCAATTCATCATCGTCATCATCAAACAACACCCACAAAAACACAGAAATTATTTATTTATTTTTTTGTTGAAGAACCCAGTGCCATTGAACCCAGCACCGGGTTTGAAGGAACCCAGAGCTTGGGATCGTCGAACCCAGGTGATGGGTTCCTTCGAACCTAGCTGGGTTCGTCCTACCCAACGCATGGGTTCGTCGCCTCGGCTTGGGTTCGTCGTTTCGACGAACCCAGGCGACGATCTGGGTTCACTTGGGTTCGTTGAACCCAAGCCCAGGCGACGAACCCAGCTGGGTTCCTTGGAACCTAGAGCTTGGGTTCGTCGAACCCAGCGCTAGGTTCCTTGAACCCAGAGCCTGGGTTCCGAGGAACCCAACGCCGGCTGCTGGGTTTCTGAGGGGGGAAGGGTAAAGAGAAAGGGGAAGAGAAGGGGAAAGAGAAGAAAAAAGAAAAAAAAAAGAGTTTTTTAAAGATTTATTTTTCATATTATTAATTATTATTTTTATATTATTATTATTTTTGCCATGTGTATAATAATTTGCCATGTCATCCTATAACAGTGAATTAACAGCATAAGTAATGTGATTTTTAACGGAGGGACCAAATCGGGGTAAAAATGGTAAACAGTAGGGACTAAATCAGGGATTTTTTGAGTTAAGGGACTAAGTCGGGGGTCCGTACAATAGTTGAGGGACCAAAATGGGGGTTTAACCTATTTGAATGAAGAGTAGTGGGATATTGATTGGTTCTTTTCCTTCGAAGATTCACCTATCTTGGTTCATCAAGGATATCCATATTATTTGATTTA